TATATTTCAAATATTTATTATTATTATTTTAAGATAAATTAAGATATTCTTTTAAATATTATATCATTATATTATTATATTTAAAATGTCATGGATAAGAGATAATACTTCAAATTGGTTTCTACGTTTGGCTGTAAAAATTTTAAAAGCTGGATATATTCCTAAACATGTAGCATTTATAATGGATGGTAATAGACGTTATGCAAGTAAAAATGGAATAGAAAAAATAGAGGGGCATACAAAAGGGTATATAGTAATAAAAATAAATTTATATAACATATATATATTTTTATTTTTATATTATTTTTTTTATATATTCTATATTAAATATAGATTATTTTTAAGATTTGATAAATTTGCTGAAACTTTACAATGGTGTATGGATTTTGGTATACAAGAAGTAACATTTTATGCATTTAGTATTGAAAATTTTAAAAGAAAACGAGAAGAAGTAAATGGACTTTTAAATCTTGCAGAACAAAAATTCCAAAGATTATTAGATGAAAAGTATGTCAAAAATTATATTTATAAAACAGTTCATTTAATAATATTTTATATAACAAATATTTTACTATAGGGATAAAATAAAAAAACATGGATTATGTGTTCGCATAATTGGTAATTTTTCTCTATTACCTAAAAATCTACAAGAATTAATAGCAGAAACTATGATTATTACTAAAGAACATAAAAAAGGATTTCTTAATATTGCATTTGCATATACATGTAAATATATTTATTTATATAAATATTTTATATAATTTTATATATTAATATATCAAACAATAATTTTGTTTTAAAAAATGAATATAATAATAAAATATATCATAATGTAAATTAATAATTTTCATATTTTTAAAATTTTTTTCTTATAATTATTTATTTTAGCAAGAGATGAAATTACACATGCTATTAAGGATGTAATTGAAGGTATTCAATGTGGTGATATTCTTTCTGAAGATATTGATGAAGAACTAGTTTCTAATTGTTTATATACTAATAATTCAAAAAATCCTGACTTATTAATTCGTACTTCTGGAGAAGTTAGATTTAGTGATTTTCTTATGTGGCAAGTAAGTTTAAAAAAATTAATATTATTTTTTATTTGTTATTTAATATAATATTATTTTATAAATTATTTTTCAATAAATTTCAGATATCAAATACATGTATTTATTTTAGTAATGTTTTATGGCCTGAATTTAATCTCTGGGAATTTCTTAATGCAATATTTTATTATCAAAGATGTTATTCTGATATACAAAAGATAATAAAAATACAAAATATAAAACCAAAAATACAAAATAGCAGACAATTGACATATATAGACAAATTGCATCATAAAAGACAAATTGCACTTCAAAGAATATGTTTGTCAAATTTTTAAATAATATATATTATAAAATAAGTTTAATTAAGATTAATTATAAATATCAAGTAAGATTAAAGTATAATAATATATATTTATGTAAACACTATTTATATATATATATATTATGTAAACAATTTTTCTTAATCATTTATGTTTAAATTTATGTATATACTTTAAAAATACTTGTACATTTTTTTAAATATTCTAATGCTATTCAAATATGTACAAGTATTAAAAATCTATAACTCTTCTTTTATTCTATAAAAAATGTATTAATATGTATATAAAACAATTTCTTTTAAAAAATAAATATAATATATATAATGTTAAAAAACATGAAAAAAAAAATAGAAATATTATGCATACAGATAAATTCATTTTCATTTCATTCATAAATTTATATATGTATATTTATATATAATGAAACAAAAATATAAATGTTATGCATATCCATAAATTTATTTTTTAATTTCATTCAATATATAAATTTGTATATATTTATATATGTATTTATATGTATACATTTATAAAATTTGTAAGATATTTTTTTGAAATATCCTGTACATCAAATCTGCTACATTTATAAATTAAATATTTGGCTTAATTTTAATACTTTTTTAAATATACACTATTTCATACATTATCACTCTTTCTAAATATATTATATATTATTTTATACATTATATTTAATATTTCATTAATAAAACATTTTTATATTTTCAAAAATTTTTAATCAAAACTTTTATTTTGCAGAAACATTATAAAGTAAATATTTATTAAATAAATATATTACATAAATATGATCAGGCACATTAATATTAGTGTAATTTTAAAATAGAAATATAAACTTAAATATTATTATATTTTAATATTTTGTAAATATATTATATTTCATTATTATATTTTAAAAATTCAAAATAATATACATATACACAAAAATTATATATTTACAAATGTATATGCTTGTAAAATATTAAAATATTTTTAATATATTTTTAATAAATGTTTTATTAATGATTAAATGCGCAATGAAATATATATTGTTTAAATAAATAGAATTTAATAATATAATAGAATAATATAATGTTAAATTTAACAAAACCTTAATTTTATTTCTTTTTTTCTTTTTTATTTTTCATTAGTTTAAAATTTAATTAAATTAAAATCAATAAATATAAATAATTTTTAGTTGTTATTTAGAATTATAAGGTGGATGACGTCTAGCAGATGGTTGTCTTTGCCTTGCTAAAAAAGATTGACCCTGACCTGAACTTAAAGCTGCAAGACGTTGATCTATTGCTTCTCTATGACAAGTCAAACCTAAGCGATAAAAAGCAGATATCATTAATTTTTCTTCCATCTCTTTAATTAATTTTGATTCTTTTAGAGATCGTTCCATATCTTCCATAATTTTACGCTGCTCTAAAATTTGATTTCTTAAAACAGCTACTTCATTAGGAGATGAATTATTTTGTTTAGGATCTAAACTTTTTATAACACTTTTTGCTTTTTCAACATATTTTTTATAACGTTCCTCAAGTGCAGCATTATCATATTCTCGACGTGTTAATTTTTCTTGAAGTGCAAAAACTTTTTGTTTTTGAGTTTGCAATGCATTTTCTCGTTCTTCAACTTGTAAAATTAAACGTTCTTTTTCTGATTGTATTTTTCTCACTTCATCTTGCAATTGTGTTATTTTTTGTCCTAAATTAATATTATCAGTTTTATTGTCTCCACTTGATTGATTTCCCAATGCTTCTTCCAATCTATTTTCTAATTCAATTATTCTTTGATTAGCTTTACGATTTTTACCTCTAAGTGTATTTAATCTTTCCTCTGAATCTTCTAATAATGCTTGAACTGTTGGTAATTTATCCTCATTTCCCATTTGTTTAAGTTTCAACATTTTATTTTCATGTTTTAAACACAATAACTCTTCTTTTATTTCAAGAGGAATCATTTCTGTATTTGTCACAGTATCAGTGCTAGGTTTTGCTATATTTTCTGCTGCTTGCAATTGTGTACATTTTAATTCCTCATTTGTTTCTTTTAAAGCATCTCTCTCTACAATTAATCTATCTCTTTCTCTTTGTAAAGTGCTTAATTGAGCTTCCATTTTTTTCCCTTCAAATTCAAGTTTATCACATTTATTAGTTTGTTCATCTAATTTATGATGTGCTTCAGCAAGTTGTTGTTTGCAAACTTCTAAATGATTACGCAGCATTGTAGTCCGTTTTGATTCCTCTTCATAATCTATCTTAGATTGTAGATATTCTAAATTCTTATCTTCTAATATTTTAACTTGTCTTCTTAAATCACTTAAATCTTCCATTTTCTTTTTATATGATTCTATTGTTTGCTCATATTTTGCTACTTTATCTGCTGTTTCTCTTAAGGCATCTATTTCATCTTTTAGATTATTAGCCTCGTCAGCTGCTTTTTGTAAGTCTTCTTGTCTAGATTGTAATTCTAATACTTCCTTTTCTAATAATTCTATTTTTAGTCTATAATCATCTCTAGATGTTTCTACTTTAAATAATTCATCTTTCAATGCTTCCACTTGTTTTCTGAGACCAGAATGTCTAAAAATAGAACAAGATTCTGGATTTTCAAATTCATCTAATCTTTCTTGAAGTTTTTTATTTTCTGTCATTAATGCAGCTTTTTCTTCTTGTAAAAGTGAAAGTTGTTGATCAAGTTCATGACATTTTTGTGCTAATTGTTCTTTCATATCAACAGTTACTTGAAGTTCTGTCAATAATCTTTGTTGAGTACCATCAGCTACATCTAGAGATTCAAAATTAAGACTAGTACCTAAACTTAGTCTTGGTCCATGCATATTACTTTCTAATTCTTGAATACTCTGCATAATTGCTTGTTGAACAGTTTCTTCCATTCCCATAATTCTTGTTATATATTGTTGCTTTTGATTGCAATTAACTGCACATCCAAGAATTAATTGTAATAAACGACGTAATTCATAATTATCACAATGTTCACCAATTTTAGTTGCATCAGGTTTAATGTAACCTGATAATTGTTGATTTAAACATTCTATATAATATTCCATTATAGCTTCAATTATTTTCTTAAGATTACTAACTTTTAACCGCCAATTAGAACTAACATCAGTTTTAATTTTTGCTCTCCAAGCAGCAGTAAACCATTCAGGAGCAATTTGAGCTAAGACATCTGCTAAAGCAACACCATCACTTATATCCTCAGCAGTTGAATGAGAACCTTGGAGATCAAATGTATCTAACCATTTAATTAAATTATTTAATTGTTGATCATCCATTATTATTTATAATTAAAGATATATTGATTAAATCATAAAAATATTTATTTTATAATAATTCTATTCTTTTTCTTTTTTTTCGTTTAAATCTTAATTTTAAAACGTATTATTTATTTTTTGAATAATTAGGTTGAAGGTTAAAAAATATTCTATCATTTCTATACTATTAAAATATTAATATTTTACTATTATAATAATAATTTTGAAAAATATTTTTTAAATTATATCAAAATGTTATTTTGACATTCTTTTATGCAAAATAAAATTAGGAAAAATATTAAATATGTTAGACTTTATCTTTCGCTTTTAGTTAAACTGACTACACACGTTCTAAAATAACTGCAGTAAGTACATTGCGATCTTGTCAAATAGATGTATCTGTAATATATATATTATACTTAATGCATTTATACATAATTTACTTATGTTGACAAAATTACCAATTTATTGATATCAACAAATATTTTGCAGATTTAGCTAAAAAAAATTTTTTGTAAAAGATAGAATAAAATATATTTTAACTTTTAAAGAAAGTTATATACAAGCTAGTCATATACAAAATCATATACAAAGCTGTAAATAAATTTCGCATTTAAAGAAATTTTATATAATGTAAATAATACTTAAATTGATACAATTATTTAAAAATGGATGAAGAAAATAAATTGAAATTAGTAATTTTATTAATTTATATGTAAAATTTATTTTTATAAATTTCTAAGTTCTAATTTTTCTATGTATTTTTGCTAAACCATACTTCACTAAATTATGAATTTTATTTATTATAAATTAATTTGTTTATTATAAGTGGTAAATATTATAACACACTTTAGCTAAAATATATTGAATGATTTTTTATATTTGCTTTAGTTAAATAGCTATGTAATTAAATAATTACAGTTTTATTTTATATATTTTTACTAATGGATCTATGCAGACATTTTTCGATCGGATCTGATAAGTATATTGAAACGTGTGTAGCTGGCTTTAGTTTTATTATAAATTTATAGAAATATATTTTATTTTTAAGAAAGTAGATGAAATAATAATAGTTTATAATATATGTTTATTAGCTACTGTCAATATAACACGCTGTCATATAACAGAGAAAAATCTAGTCATTGAGATATTTATTGGTTACATTAATAAAAAAATAAACATACACAAAAAAAAACTACTAACATAATACATGAATGATAGTTAACTACTTGCATGCGTAAAAATGCATTAAATGTACGATAACATAGGTATATTTTTATAAGAATAAAATGTATAAGATTATTTGTTATTAAATCTTATTTGAATTTATCATAAAAAATATCATTATCATTATAAATAATAAAATATTAATATCATTATAAAAAGGTTTGTACAAATATTTTATATTTGATATTTCTTAATAGTGATTATATATAATAAAAATAATTTTAAGCATAAAAATATAAAATAATTTTATATTATAATAAATACATTTTTTTATGTACAATACAGTTCTATATATCAATATAATTATGGCAACTGAGATGAAAGATAATTTAATAGGTATACATGAAAAAGAAAATAGTAATCCACGTGCTATATTTTACAAAAAACCTATTAAAAAAGACAATTATAATTTAGATGTGGATAATATTGATACTTCTCAAGAAATAAGACGCCGACGGTTATTACAATTTCAAAAAAAGTATATTTTTAATATGTATTTATGTTATAGTTTATAAAATATATATAAGTTATATAAAATATTATAAAAATAAAAATAATAATATACATTATTAGATGTAGAGACATAGCATTTAATGTTGGAAGAGGAATATTGGAAGAAGCATTTAACTCTGAAGAAGATGAATGTGAAGAAGAATTAGAAATTGAGGAAACAAATAAAAAAGGCTATCACTCTTTTAAACGCCAATTTAATCAAACAAAATATTATGCAAATCAATTAATGATGTCTGAATGGATGTTGGAAGTACCTCAAGATCTTTTAGGAAAATGGATTATAGTTCCTTGTCCTCAAGGGAAAAGAACTCTAGTTGTTGCATGTAAAGTATGTTGAAACAAAACAGAAAATATTCTTTCTTTACTATATTTTATTTATTTTAGGGTGTAACTAAAGCATATAATAAACGAGGTAATCGCCTTGGTAAATTCTATTCTGCACTTCCTGGTGGTAATCCATCTGAACATAGAAGTAGTTGTACCATTGTTGATTGTTTATGGATAAAACAACAAAAGATATATTATATTTTAGATGTACTTGCATGGTCTAATCAATCATTGATGAATTGTGATGTAAATATATTTATTTTCAAATTATATGGTATTATATATATGTTACATATCTTATAATGCTGTAAAATTAAAAAAAGATTATTTATTTTAGACTGAATTTAGATTTTTTTGGTTAAAGTCAAAATTACAAGAAATCGAAGAATTACACAAAAGGAATACATATAAAAATAGTTTTCCCATGTTATCTTTACCAAATATCAGTTGTGATACTGATATAAGTTTATCATTAGCAAATCTTCCAAATTTGTATCCCTTAGATGGTTTACTATTTTATCATAAAGATGGACAATATACTAAAGGTCGTACTCCACTTGTAACATGGTTAAAACCTTTTATGTTATCAGAAGTACTTGGTGTTTCTGTACCACCACCACTTGATGAACAACCTGATGGGTATATAGATTTTGTACATTACATTCTTAATTGTCGTGCTAAAAAAAGAAAAGAAGAATCAGAAAGTCAAGTAAGCTTATTTATTTTAATTTTGAAAAGTAAATATTAATTAACTTCTTACTTATTCATTTTTACTTCTAGATGGATATTGCAGATGAGAATTCCTAAAATTTTACTTTATTTTATTTATATAAACGAACTTCTTAAGGAAGTGAATTATAATTGACATATTGAAGATGTTAATAATACTTATATTTTATGAATGTAACTTTTGTGTTGTACAAATTTACTGGTAATAGTATTTGAAATCTAACATTAATATTTTATACAATCTGTGATATTTAAAAAAATTATACCAAATCTAAATAAATTTATAAAACATATGATGATGAAAACTGCATATACTAATTCAAATTATTATGTTAAAATTAATATTACAATAATTTAACATCAATAATTTAAAATATATTATACAGATTACATCTCAAGATTTAATGTGTGAAACGTATCAAGAGCTTTTTCATTTAAATATAATAAAATACGATTCATAGTATCTGCACTCATTACTTTCATCTGAAAATAAAAAATAATGTATTTTATAAAGAAAAAAAACGTAAATGTATATATGAATTATAAGAATTAACAATACTATTTATTTACTTTATTTTCCATAATAGTAAGTGTTGGGAGATGAATTTTATGTAATGTACACAATCCCAATTGTAAACCAGCAAGTTCTAAAATTTGAGAATATAAAACTTCACGAAATTTTTCTATATGTTCTAAATTAAAAGTCATTTCAAGACTTGCTTCATCATTTTGATCTTTTATAATTCTAAAAGAGAAGTAATATAGGAATAGAAAATATTTTATTATTTTTATGCATATTACATAACTTTAAATATTTTGAATATTATAAATTATAATATTTCCTACATAATATTTACAAATTTTAAAAAAATTTATAAATAAACACATACACTGTTAATATTTTTATTAAATCTAAAATTTTAAATTTTATTGTAATTGTATCTGTATCTGGTAGTTCTGGTATTTTATATTCCATATGAATTTCATCTTTGCTTTTTGGTTGTTCCTCTTTAGTTGTTGGAGTAATTACAATTGGAATAAGCCATAATAAATCATCTTCATGTGCAGATAATGTGACAATCATACAATCAAACATACGACTTAATATAGTATGAACAATTCCCATAGTACCTTGTGTACTACGACATAATAAAAGAGGTAATCTTATAGAATTATCAGTTAATGTATTTTTAGTAGTTCTCCATGACAGAAATATTCCTTTATATATACATTTCTTTGAACTTTCTTCATTATTACTTTTTTCAGAATAAACTTCAATCTGTAATTATTTTTCTTGTAAATATAATAAAAAATAATATAAATTTATTTTAGTTTGGAATAAAAATAAGAAATTTCAATAACATTTCACAAATAATATCATCAATAAGTAATTTTTATATTTATAATTTCAAATTGTTTATTATTATTATTATTACCTTTATTGGTGGTGGATCCATTGGACTAGGTCTCAATATTATGTTTTCCATAATACAAAATTCTGTATTATATGTTACATCTTCTTGTGTTAAATTATTTGCAACTTCTTCTCTTAATTTTTTTGCATATTGTTTTAAACATATTTCATCTTGATAAAAATTAAATAAAGTAGAAACCCCAAAAATAGTCCAAGTTTTATTTAATAATTCTGTAAAATATACAATTTAAAATATTATAATTTAATAATATAGAAAATTTATTAAATATATATATAATTATAATTATTACATTAAGTATAATTTAAAATAAAAACAAAGTTTATTTATAATTCTTATAACGATTATTTTAATATACCTTGTAATGTATTAATATCTTCAATTTCTTCTGCTGGAGCAGAACTAATACCTAAACTAAATTGTTGTCTTCCTCTTGTTCGAGGAGTATACATTGTATGAATTGTATGATCACTATTTGATAGTATATTTTCTACATCATTTTCCATCTTATAATAAAATCATGAAATAAATATGTTAAAAAAAATAAAATTTTAATAAAATCTTTATTTGCCAATTTACAATTATTTGAAAAGTTTCAAATTTTGAAATAAAACTTTATATAAAAAACTTTAGCAAGTGCTATGCGCATCTGAGTGCACAGAATATTTAACCCGCGCAAAAGCAACCAATGGAAAAACAGCTTAAAAAGAAAAGATATTCCAAAAAAGTATTTGGAATTCTTACGATCATGTTTCCATGGTATAAGTTGTTAGAATATCGCATGTAAAAAGATAACAGATTAATTAATTACTATGCTTATTCATTTTGTTTCTTAATTCCTTCTTATTAACTTCTTGATTAGATTGTGTAGTGCCTAAATTTTTAAGATTTTTAGTGTTTTTTTATTTTTAAAAATAATAATAGAGTTTGATTCAACAAATTCAATGTACATAGAAAAACAAAATTAATATACAATTAAAATCGAACACACTTATTTATTAAAAATTAAAATTAATATTATTAAAATTAAAATTTTTAATTGAATGCTATTTATTTCTATTTTATTTTATATATTTGCAAATTTTTAATTATTTTAAAATAGTTAATTATTTATTAATTTAACCTTGTTTCTTAATATAATCTTTCTAAAAACTTTAATGTTAAATAAAAATATTAATGTTAAATAATTTTTTATACATATTATGTTTGAATTTTAAGTCTGAGAATTTATAAGAATTTGTATTCGAATTTGATGTTAAATATAATATAATATATAATTAATATATAATATGTTATAACATACAATTTTTTTTTATAATAAAACAATTGAAACATTAATTCTATTCAACTAACTTCAAACTTTAAATTGATATGTACTAAATATTAATTAAAAGTATATTTAAGTGCTAAATACTTCTCAATAGTTTGATACATTTGTGAAATAAAAATTGCAAATTTCATATGCAATAAGTAATTTGTTGTAATATAGTATCACTTACTTACTAGGGAAATTTTATATTACATACAGTTAAAGTAACTATATTTTAATACTTAATAATTTTTATGTTAAATTATCATTATGTAATATTAAACATTTTTTAATTTGTAATACATTTTCTTTTTTAATAAGAAGAATACTAAGAATATTTAATTGATTACTTAAATGAATTAATTTTAAATGTGTATTATTTATTTTTTTATATAGAATTTTATCATATACTGATAATAATTGTGAGTTGTAAATCTATT